AAATTCAGGACATACCAAAATTCACGAAAACCTCATGAATGTATGATGTGTACTAGCCGATTCAGTTCAGCGTACGATTTAGATTGCCATTTCAGTTACTATCATTCAACTATTAAACGGTTCAAATGCTTTCACTGTAATCGGGTACTATATAACTATTCGGGTAAACTACGCCACGAACGATTATGTTCCTTGAAAAGTACTGTTATTAGGAAACTACCATATCCTCAGACGACTATCTTCCAGAAAACAATATCTCGACCAACAGAAATAATTCAGGAACCAGAACGTGTACTAGTAAAGAAAATGAGTGATAATGAGGATTGTGAAGTGATTCAAAATCATCCAATCAGTATTACTTCAATCTCAGAATCAAGATCTGGTACGCCAAAAGCTACACCTGAAAACTCAACAAAGCTTATTCCGGCTTCTAAGTCCAAACAAAAGAAAACATTTCACATTTGTGATATTATGCATGATATTCCAGGTTTTTCGTAATAGCGCTTAAATCTGGGAAATATGGTCATATTAAAATAAAAGCTTTTGTTTCTCAATATTTCTAGAGATGGAAAGTTCTTTCCCAAACCATCCAACATCTTCTTTAAATTTATAGAAAGAAGATATGAGATGATAAAATGATAACAGTAGCCAGTGTCACTGGAGTGAAACCATCAACTAAACCAACACCAAATTTATACAATTTCATGAATGATTTTCCAGAAATTTCCCTAGAGTTTTTTGAAATTTTAAAATTTAGCTAACAAATCATTACTTAGATTTGAGTCTGCATCAGAAACTGAAAGAATCAGAAACCATAAGTTTGTGCAAACAGTCAGTATATATCATTATACATCATTTTGTTTGGGTTGCAGAATTTTTGAAACAAAAAAGGTATAGAGGAAAGGAACAGAGAAACATCTTACCTTTGCGGGAATCTACTAATTCTTGCTTGAAAGAAACAAAAACAAATTAGGTAAGAAAAAGATGACTCATCCTAAAATAAGTTCAATAAGAAAGGCAGCCACATTTATTGTATTCATCACAAAAGCATACACTTCTATTTCAGTATGTGTTGGTTAATTCATAATTTAAAGTAATATATATGTACCATATCCCACACTAAGACATTCCTAAGCAAGCATGTCGAAGATTAATGAATTCGGCATGTACGTTTCTACTATAGTTTGAAGAGTGTCACGACAAAAGACTGTCATCTTCCTCCCTTTTCAATTATTTTACCTTGCAGCAGAGTATGTCAGAAAAAAAAAAATTTGAGAGCTAACGTAGTCCAAAGTAATGTAGTCCACGATAGACAAAGCCTTTCATCAATGCTATCACCCGCTAAAGCCTTTCATTTAATCTATTCGCCATCGATAAAACCCAAATCCTCCTCGATTGATTTAATTTGTGGAAACTTTATGTTCCAGAAAAATCTTATCTGGCCATTCATCAATAATAGTGACCACTACTAGCTCAAAATCCTACTAAGCAAGAATGTCACATATACTCTCCTTTCACAGGAAAAAAACTGAACATCAACCAGACTGTTTTTCCTTTCCCATCAAGTATTTTTTGTTGTTCCAAACAGACGACATATACCTTTTACATGGAACGAATACGAGAAATTTTTATCAACTTTAACTTTTCTGTTCAACTTTCCAATAAATTTTAATCAATTAAAGAGATTTTTAAACAAAGATTTCCCAGAATGAAAGGTCAATGGGAGAATTTGGGCTCGTACTCGTGTTAGATATACCAAAAATTTTAAATGCCCTTTACAGCTCAATGATATATAATGTGAAATGAGGTCTGTGAAATAAGGTGTAAATAAGGACTTGGAATTAAGATATTCTTTACAATAGAGTACATCCAACTAGATTTCTTTTTCATATTTTCCAACACTTTGGGACACTCTTGAAATATCTCAAGCCAAAATATCAGAAAATTAAACGCGTAACAAATCATGAAGAGAAACAACTGACAACATGCACCGGGAAAATTCAAATTTCTATACAGATGAGTCAAAACATCAACAAAGCTCAGTAAAAAAAATCCATCATAAAACAATTTTTTATCCATTCCCTTCTTTCTTAACAGTAAGTATTATACAAAGAAATCCTTTGGTGAGATACAGAATTAATGTTAGCAAACCCCTACTTTCCCAGCTTTTCTGGGTCTTGTCTTTCAAAATCCATACTTTCGAAAGTAATGTTCGATTCTTCCGCTTCCATTGCAATCGGTTCTGGTACTCCCTTTTCTTCTTCAGTTTTTGTCTTCTTCTAGCAGCTTTCGTCAGCCGCTTCTGCTGCC